GAATTTATTATCTCTTAAGATATCAATGGTTAAATGATCTTGGTTTCAATTTAACTTTGCAGAGAAGTTGGCAGAATACCAGCAGCAGTTTAAGGCAAATATAACTCACGAACTCGGTATGTGCTCTTTTTAAGCTCTTGCTCGTTCTATGCTATTTTATCACCTATAAAATGTTCTTTTGGGTGGGTAATTGGCTTGATAAACTTTCCTTATTACACAGAAGTTTATATTTACATAATGGTTAAATGCTAAATTTGGTCCCTCAACTTTAGTGAGTTGCACATTTTTGGTCCCTCAACAATTTTTTGCACTTTTTTGATCCCTCAACTATACAAAATGCACTCCGTTAGTTTTTCTGTTAATTTGGGCCGTTAACCCTGCTTACTTGGAATTTTTTATATTTTTTTTGATGATGTGGAGAGCAAAACTTAAGAAAGTAATGATATGCATAAAACTTTTGTCATGTCACATGCTACCCTAGCGAAAACGCGCCAAATCCATCCACATGGGTCCCACATCACCACTAAAAATTGCTTCTTTGCCCATCGGTTATTGTTTCTATTCTTTCCATAAACGATGTTCTTTCCATTTTCAAGATTGGAGTTCGATAGAACCCAGCAGATCTGGGTTCGATGTAACCCAGCAAATAGGTTCTATCGAATCCAGCTTAATTCACTGAACTCAATTGCCCAAAAATCCTTGCAATTTGGATAATCAATTGCCCAAAAATCCATGCAATTTGGATAATATCTTGGCAAATAATCATATAACAAAAAAAAAAAACTAGTTGCCCAAAAATCCCTCACAACAACCTGCAATTTGAATAATCTCTTGGCAAACAATCATATAAACAAAAAAAAAAAGTGGAGCTGGGTTCTGGGTTTCGTCGAACCCAGCAAACTGGGTTCAATGACCCGAGGAAGAAGAGGAAGAAAAAAAAAAAGAAAAAGAGAAAGGAAGAAGATGAACGGAATTTTTTTATTTTATTTTTATAAAATATAAATAGTAATAATGTGAGTTGGCATGAAAAAAAATCCACATCAACACGTTTTCAATTTGTTTTTGCCACATCATCAAAAAAATTATAAAAAATGCCACACAAGTGAGTTAACGATCGAAATTAACAGAAGGACTAATGGAGTGCATTTCTTAAAATTTAAGAATAAAAAAAATACAAAAATTTATTAAGAGACCAAAAATATATAACTCACTAAAGTTAAGGGACCAAATTTAGCATTTAACCTTCCATAATAAGCTCTTGTCAAGTTTTACTAAATAAATACATGTTTATCTTTGCGTAAGTGTACCAAAGACTAAGAGTCGGTTTCTGACAACAATGTCACGCGTCGTCATCTTATTGGCACATTTACCATTGATCACGTGGATGTGTCACAACCACTATGTTTGTGC